AAATTAGGAACAGGGAGAAAATGTACAAATTTATGAAGGTACAATTCAAAGGGCGAGTACCCAGAAGAGAGTAAGTAGCATTGTGGTGTTTTGGATAGTTACTTCGATGTAAAACTGATGGAGGGCTGGATCATCTTGAGTTAAACTGAGGAAAAGGCAGGGGATTCTTGGAATGGGTGTGAATGTCCCCACAGCACTGTTTACTCCCTTTCTGTACTCAGGAGTTTTTCCTAACATGGCATCAGAAACATAACGGGTTAGGCACTTTTGTAGGTTAGAGAGATGGTGCTATCGTGAAAAGCTCTACAGCCATCCACAGTAGCCACGCTGGGCCCAGCTGGTGTGGAGTGTCTTAGGTCTTCATAGGGGGTCTGGCTTCCTGCTCCAGTCAGCTCTGTGATCCCCAGCCTCGAGCCACCGTGCACTTTGGCTAGCTCTTCTGCAGTGTCTGTCTAGCCAACTTTAGCTGGAGCAGAAAGGGTGAGGGTAGAAAGCTCAGCCTGCTATCTGGGAGCTGTCTAACTGTCTGGGTGCTGTAGGTACTTGGAAAGACTCCGGTCTAACATGGTCCTCAAAGAAGGCTGAGGATGGGCTCCATTAGATTCACCTTCTTAGAAACAACAGCTGCTGGATCAACCCTGAACACCTGAGATGGGGAATTATTGTATTTCTGACAAATTCTTCCGGGTGGTTCTGATGTGCCTTCAGGCTTGGGACTGTTCTTTCAGCTTTTTTTTTTTTTTTTAAAGCCCATGATTTTAAGTTAAAAACCATCCCAAAAGAAGATACAAAGTTCTTAGCACTCAAATGTCAGTGATTTTGAGAGGTCAGAGATGATGCAGGACATTGCAGATCAGAGGTTAAATGACTTCCCCAGGGTTGCACAGAGTCAGGTTTCAGAGTGACTCTTCTGAGTTCAGTGAACCTTCTGCTGGTCTGGGTTGCCTCAGAAATGTTGTCCTATGACCTGCCAGGTGGTTGCATTCCCAAGGCTCTCCCATGAGGAACACTGTCTGAACCCAGAAGTTCTCTAAGGTTGATCGGTTGATTAAATGTTTGGTTATCTAAAGATCAGTTAGGTGACCATGGTTGTTTTAACCTTTGTGGTTAAAAATGATTCAAAATGTATTAATCACATTTTCTGCTCCTTGAGAGGAATTCTGGGAGATTCATTCCATTTTCGAAGGAGAATGGACCTTAATTCTTCACGATCTTGCAGGGCTCTGGGTCATAATTCTGCAGCAAGCTCTTGCTCAATATTATTATCAAACATAAAAGCCACGCAGCTGACCTTGAACATGAGCTACATTTCTACTTTCTTTTTAAGTACATTTTAAAAAATTCAATTGGCTTTCTTTCGACTTGTTTCTTGGACATTGTTGCTACAATTTTCTCACTTTAATTAATTTCTTTTTATAATGCTGGGTTTTCTGACCTTATTTTACCACTTGGGCCTCAATGACAGCTGCAGTGTCTGCACATGCTGACACTGCTGTCGCTCTGGGTTGCTCTGCGTCCTTGCAGGGGAACCAGTTCAGAAATCACTTCCTGAGGCCAGCGTTCGGGTCTTAGAACTAAGCTGGGGGTATGATTTCAGCTGATTTTGTGTCCATTTACACACTGCTGTAAGTTTCAGCCATCAGATTAGATCTGTCCCTGTCATGGGGGCAGGCCACACATTCCCACTGAGAGCATTTGGAGATTACAGAGACATCATGAATATATATATCTTTCTTTCACCAAGCCAGAGTTGGAGGTGGAAGTTGTGTCTGAGTTACTGGCTGCTTTGGAAATGGGATGTAACCTAAAGTACTTTTGCTCTGTCTTCTATCCCATGGAGAAGTCACATGGCCTGGTGCCACTATGAAATGCTCAATGAATCCACTAAGGCTGTCTGGTCCTATTCACTGGTTACATTGAGGCCATCCCTCTTGAGGCTTACTCACTTTTTATAATGTGTAAGTCCAACCTAAATTTGTTTCTGGATGTCTGTGTCATCACGATTTATATCCTAAGGCTCTCTACCAGAAGAAAGGGTATATTTTGTGTTTTTATCATAGGTTAGCCTTCCAAAGCATCACGGGAACTTTTCTGTTCAATGGGTAGTTTCGTTGAATAATTCCTTGAGAACACTCTGAACATAGCAACGGCATGAGAAGTATCTGATGCGCAGTGTTGTGAAGGACAGTGCCTGAGATGGGTGTAGAGGAACTTACTCCCTGAGGAAAAGTAACCTTGCCAGGAGTTGGAATGGAGATTTTGGGGGTCTTATAATTTAACTCTGCTACTGTTTGCTCCTCAGTGATCCATTAGAAGGAAGGCAGATGGTTGTTGTGGAATATTATTTTAACTAGGCAAAGATGTGTTACCTTTGTTTATACTGCAGAATATTATTTGTAACTGTGCGAAGGTGTGTTTCTTCTGCTTATGATGCATTTGTTTAACTATGCAAAGATGTGTTGCATTTGTTTCACCTTGCCTGCCTAAGGCACCTGACTGGTCTATTAAAAAGCTGAATAACCAATAGCTAGGCAGGAGAAAGAATAGGTGGGGTTAGCAGGCAGAGAGACTCAATAGGAGGAGAAGTCTAGGCTTGGGAAGAAGAGAAATGAAGAATTAGAGGAGGTGAGAATGAAGGAGACATCTGGGGCAAGAAGCCAAGCTGATGCCAGACAGATGTAGAGAAGCAGTGAATGATCTACAGGAAGAAAGGAGGAAGGTAAAAAGCCCGAGGCAACAGGTAGATAAAGAGAAACAGGTGACTTTAAGTTAAAAGAGCTAGCCAGGCCTAGCATTCAACACTAATAATAATTCAAAACTAAATAATGCCCAAACTATCATAATTTGGGAGCTGGTTGGTGACCCCAAAAGAAAAAAAACCTGTTACAGATGGTAGATATCAGATATAGTTTTAAGTGAATTATCGTCCCCCTGTACTATGGCAGTATCATCTGTACGGTGCCCAATCGATGTGCAAGGGAGCTGTGGGGGAGCTGTGATGTCAGAAAAGAAAGGCTAATTTACTCCTCCAGCTGCAGGGCATGCTGCCAGCAGAAACCTTGGTACTGTTGCCCTTCTGTAAAGAGGGGGGAGGTGCCTTAGCTAAAGAGGTCCACGTTGCCCAAGGCCACCGACACAGCTGGGAGAAATGATTGATCTACACGGGTATGCAAAGGTCCCTCTTTGTGGCCCCACCTCAGGACCTCTCTGAAGCATCATCAGAGCGCAGACATCCTCCTTGAAGGATGCCCAAGGCTAGGTCAGTTTCTCCCTCAGCTCAGACATCACTTCTCTTTTTGTTCTCCAAATGTTGCTTTCAGGACACTCAATAACTCCTTGCCAAACACTACCTCAAAGTTTGCTGGGGAAACTCAACCCATTGGGAAACCCTTTGAACAGGGATTTTTCTCAGACTAACTAAAGAAGGATTTTTTTTTAATGTCATTAAGATGAAGAAAAAAGTGACAGGTAAACTGAGACACAAAACAATAGAATAAAGTTGACTCTCTGTCGGAACTTGGGATGTGGCAATGTTTGTTTGGAGACTGGAGTTTCATCTGTAGACCTACTGACCTAGAGATCAGACTGGGCTTGACTTCATGTGTAATCCTCCTGCCTCAGCCTCCCAATTTGTAGAATTATAGGGGTAAACTAACTACCATACCCAGTTTGGACTTCAGATGTGGAGGGATGTATATCTTGTTTCTCTTTGGTAGTGAGAAGACATCAGCTGACACCTTCCAGTAACTAAGGGTTGACGGCATGGGGGAAAGGAGGAGAGCCATGTTGTTTTGAACTGGATACTTATTTCTTTGTATTTTGCATTGTAATTTGTCCTAACAGAAATCTAAATGGAGTCCTGTTTTACGATCTCCCTTGTGCCACATTGGTTGTGGCAAAAATCACTGAAGGGGCCCATGAGTAGGTGGGCAAGCGGTGACTGGAGGCTATAACATGGCATAGTTGCTTCTAAAAGAATCCCCGTCCTCCACAGCGGGGCTCAACCACTGTGGGCCTCTCAGAAAGAACGGAGAGAGGCCATTTTGGATTGCCCAATCCAGGGTGATAGACAGCAGTGGGAGGTTGGGTGAGTTGAAAGTCAGGATGAACGTTTAGTGACACCCAGAGAAGAGCTGAAAACTAGGGGAGAAAGCAAAAAACAAATAACAAAAGCAAGCAAGCAAACAAACAACCAAACCAAACCAAACAAAACACAAATAACCACAAAACAAACAAATGAACAAAAAAAAAACCACATGCAGACAGATGTCTTCTTTCTTTGGATCTTTGACTGAGATGAGGGTGTAGTTCCCAGTGGCACAGCCCATCTCTTGGCATAAACTTCCGAAGGATATGCAGACAGGGAATGGACTTTTTCTAAAGGCTGGACCGCCACCCAGTTGAACCTTAAGATTAGTATGTGGATGCTGGCATTGAAACGAATGAAGATGTAACTATTTATGAAACTGAGTCTCTCAACTCCTCAAGTTGTGTTGACAAGCCCGTCAATGGGCTCCATGGGTCTGAGCTCTATGTTCCCTGCTGTTTGGGAAGGGCATCCTGGTGACAAGTCAGGGATGCCGTTGAAGATGTGTTTTTTGAGAAGACACTTACCCCAAAAGTCTACCCAGCCATTCTGGGCCGGGAAAGGGTCTTGTGCAGACTAGGGGGAGAGGGCTAGGGCACTAGGGGGCCTTGTGGACTTGGGTCTCCCGAAGGAACAAGGCCTCTGGGCAGCCAGGAGCTGGGGAGGGCTCCAAGGCACGGTGCCAGGCGCTGTGCGGCAGGGAGCAGAATGCAGTGGGGTGGCCCTTGGGGACCCCGAGGAGGACAGAGACGGGAAGGGGACGTGCGAAGACTGAAAGTGGGGAAGACGGAGCCGGCCGGCGGGCGGGCGGGCCGGCGCCCTGGCCCGGGTGTGGGGAGCTGGGCGGTGCGGGCCGAGGCGCGGGCGGAGCGGAGGGCGGAGGCGCGGGGCGCGCGTTTGGGGCGCTGCGGCGGGGAGGGTGGCGGCCGCCGGGGCGCGCGGGCCGTGTGTGCGCGCTCTGCCGCTCCGGGAGAAAGATGGCCCGGGAGGGAAAGTTGGGGTGACGCGTGCTGTCCCCGGACGCTTGCCAGGGGGCACGGAGGAAGGCAAGCCCGACAGAGCGGTGGCCACCCAGGCTGGGGGGCGCGCAGTCTGGGCGACGCCACCGTCACCGCGCCCGCCCCCTCACTGCAGGTGGCCGCGGGGAGCTCCGAGTCTGGGTGGCCCGGGGGCGCGGGCGGGCGCGCGCTGGGGATCCCGGCTGAGGGATGGGCTGCGCCCCCAGCATCCATGTCTCACAGAGCGGCGTGATCTACTGCCGGGACTCAGATGAGTCCAACTCGCCCCGCCAGACCAGCAGCCTGTCGCAGGGCCCCACGGCGCCCCTGCACGGCCTCTTCGTGCAGACCGACGCCGCCGACGCCATGCCCCCGAGCCGCGCGGCGGGACCCCCGGGCGCTGTCCGAGTCCGCAGGTCCCGGGCAGAACTGGGCAGTGGCAGCAGCACGGGGTCCTCGGGCCCCGCCGTGACCACCTGCCGGGGCCGGAGGCGCCACTGCTGCAGCAGCGCTGAGGCCGAGACCCAGACCAGCTACACCAGCGTCAAGGTAAATGCGAGCTGTTGGGGTGCTGTCCGTCGGGTCTGTACCGGGTAGGGGGCTCGTGCGGGAGTTGGGCGGTCGTTTGGGGGAGAGTGTTGCTAAGGAGGAGTTTACTTTTCATTTTTTGCGGGTGATGAAGGCCCATGGAATCGGGAAAAGGAAAAGATCCTGGAGGGTGCAGGGGACCAACCCTAGCTGGTCCTGGGGTGGGGACAGGTGGAGTGCAGCGCAGAGGAAAGCAGTTGGGGCGGCCTGTGGCCCAATGGATGTAGCTGGAGGGATGGGCATGCATCGCCAAGAAGAGCATGCGAGTTTCTCTGAATGAAATCCTAGCGTTGATCTCGATCTGCATGTAGGTTCCGATTTTCACCTGCAAGTCAGCTTGGCTGGATGGAACTCTCGGCGCCGTGGCCCAGTGCAGGGATTTGTGAATGAATCAGGCAGTTTATATTTGAAGAGCTATAGAAAGGGGATAGGGGAGCCAAGTGAAACCTGTTGTCCCTGTAGTGTTTCTCTGGGATGACTATATCCTGGACATAATGGAGAGAACACAGAGTTTGGAATGTCAGCCACTGTGGAGGGAGGTGGTTTTCAGTTCAGGGCAGCTACCTCAGAATGACGGTTCTGCACACTTACCTGCCATGGGGAATGAGAGTGTGAGGGTGTGGAACGGTTAGTCTCCAGATAGTTCTTGATGAACATTTAGTCCAACAGTGCCCATCTGTATGTTTTCAAAGTACTATTACATCCAAGAGGAAACCATTGTGTCAGATGTAATCACTTAAGAGCAAATTGAAGATTAATGACACATCTCATCGTGGAGAGGAAAAAAAAAACACGCCTCTAAACTCTCAGTGTTTGATAGACACAGCTCTTACGTAGTCAGTCGATCACCAGGGACCATTGCATGATTCCTTGACAAAGACACAACTGTATATCTTGTAGGTAAAAATATGCTCAACAGTTGGCCCAGTGTGAGGAGGCTCGGGGTCTTCCCTGGATGAAGTGTATCCAAACTGGAGGAAAGGGAGGGAGAGTGGGCTTTCTTTTGACCAAGTTAATTTTTGTAAAATGGAATCTCATTTTGACACATAAAACTTAACCAGTGTTTACTAGTAGCTGTGATGTTTCTCTGGTAATAATTGGGAACACCTTTAACATAAACATACCATTAAATATGTACCTTCTATGTAGCAGGAATAAGTTTTACTTACTTTGAATATTAACAGTTTATCCAAAGAGTAGAGACCTGGATTCAATTAGACATTTATATATGTATGTTTATTATATATATAATATGTTTATTATATATAAATGTCTAATTGAATATATATACATATATATGTATATATACACACACACATACACACACATACACACACAGAGAGGCATGTGGTGGGCACCAAGTTTGCTTTGTTTGTTGCTTTTTAGGTCTCCTGCCAGCAGTAACATAAAGTTAGCATTAGAAGAAATTTTAAGGTGTTACAAAGGCTATTTTTAGCAACACCCTCCAGTTGGGATTGTGGAAGGGAATCTGAAGGCCTGAAGCAGTGGTTGAGAACGGTGACTGTTCGGGAACTTCGTGGTATTTCGTCCTGGTTGTTCAAGAGAAACCTAGGCATTCTTTTACCTTTCATAGTAGCAAGGGACTCATTTTTAGTAGCTGGCAACCCTGGCTACTTGGTGTTTGTTTAGTGAAAGGAAAAAAAAATAATGAATGAGACCATTTTTCTGTGTCTTAATGCTTTCCTCAAGAGGCTACTTAGAGCCCAAATAGAGTAAAAACTGACGGAGAGAACAAGTTCTGATTATTAGCAGTTACTATAAACTCGAGTAAATCTCAGGCTACTTGACTTAAGTGTTAAAAGGCTTGACCTGGGAAGGAATTTGACTCACTTTATCAACAAGATGTCCAAATAAGAGCTTAATTCATTCCATGCCATTGCAAAGGATGTTGGAAAGGAGGGTGTCACTTCAGTGATTCAACATGGATCTGCAGTCCATCAACCTCAGAAATTATACATTTGAAATTAGATCAGGTATATTTATACAAATGCTATAGAACTTCTTAGCACAGAATTACCCCAAATATTTAATAGTATCTCTTTGGCCTCTGACTAAAATTCTGTGGTCTTTTGAAGTCTGAAAGTTCACATGTCCTGTGCCCTTACATGGATGAGATGATTTCGTAGAAAATTTTCCTTTTCCTTTTTAGAATAAAAATTCTTTTGCCTTATGAGTGTGTGAGAGTTGGCAGCCACATGGCTCCTCCTCCCTTTCTGACTGCTTGAGTAGAAAAGGAAAGTCTTTGCTATTTGGTCCTATTTACAGCAGTACTGGGTTTCAAGAGTTCCCTTCTTCCTCTTTCTACGTCAATTATAAACACTATTATCTAGTTGGCTTCTGGTATTCCCCTGAGTGCAAAAAAAGAAGTGTGTTTGATCTCTCTCTCTCTTTTTCTAGCAATCATTTATTTCATTAAGCTTTTAGAATGATGAAGCATTATGATGTCAAACATGATGTCAACAGGAACCTTCTTGAATACCTAAATGGCAAAAAGATTATAAGCATTAATAATTCATAGGCAGTGCAATGATATCACACGAGTTTCCATTTCTGGTAAGGAGTTTGTCTCTCAGTTGCTGTAAAAATGCTCCTTCCTAGCAGTTCGTCTCCCTCGCTTGCCTTTTAAGATAGTACTCTAAGAGGAGCCTTCTGCAGGATGCTCGCTCCTGGTGTGCGCCAATTCTGTCGTTGCTGTTCGGAAATCCGCAGCGGAGACGACTGGCCTTCTCTTGGGGAGGAACCAGGAAGTCTTACCAGTTGTTTCCCATACCAGCTGTTGCTGCTGGGAGCATCCAGGACTGAACAGCCGGTCCTGGCACAGGCTTTACTGATGGTACACTCAACTTGCTCCATCCTCAGCACAGGTGAGCTGTAGTCTGGATACAGATGCAGTTAGTGTCCTCTGTGTTGATGGCTGGCACCATCACCACTCCCCCTTATACTGCCTACAGCATGCTCATTTATGCCTTCAGCTGGCATTCATGCCAACCTCTACTGTAGACGCTGGAGATTCAGAGAGCGTCCATAATATTTTTTGTGCAAAGCCTATGCAAGAGGCTAAATCTCTTTTAAAGGGGTGTGCTTAAGCCAGTTATAGACGACTTCACAGCATTGCTCCATGGCATTCTAGAGTCAGTGAGGATAATGCTAAATTAAATAGTTATGGGACCTTACTGTAAACAATGAGATTTTATTAGGGGGAAGGATTAGAGCTACTTTTTATTAGTAGTTTTCATCTTTCTAGTCATCAGCCTCAGGTGGGAGTCACCTGGAGAGCTTGTTAAAGCGCACAGTGGCTTTGGGTCCCACCCCAGGAGTGTCTGATTTAATAGGTCTTGGGAGGGACCCCGGAGCTTGAGGTTTCAGGGTGTTTCTAAGAGATGTCTTGTTGCTGATCTGGGGGCCACACTTGGAGATCCCATGCTTTAAGTGACTTAAGTTGTTTTGTGGCCCAGATAAATTATGTGTGACCACCTATAGCCAGATGTTCTGTCGGATTGCTGTGGACACAGCCCTCTCCATCTATGGAGTCAGGATCTGAGTCTTTACAGCTGTCTGGGAAGTCTAAGTGGGGAGAAGCCTGGACCATGCAGCCCACCTGGGTCTCTAAGGGTCAGCTCCCTGCAAATCATCTGGGATTTGCATTGATCTTGATGTTTTGCTTTGCTGTCACAGTCCCTTCAGCTGCCTCTGCCCTTGAGGGGCCATGCCCCACATGAAGGGAATCTACAAGGTAAAGGTTTTTATTTATTTATTTATTTATTTATTTATTTATTTATTTATTTAAGATTTCTGTCTCTTCCCCGCCACTGCCTCCCATTTCCCTCCCCCTCCCCCAATCAAGTCCCCCTCCCTCGTCAGCCCAAAGAGCAATCAGGGTTCCCTGCCCTGTGGGAAGTCCAAGGACCACCCACCTCCATCCAGGTCTAGTAAGGTGAGCATCCAAACTGCCTAGGCTCCCACAAAGCCAGTACGTGCAGTAGGATCAAAAACCCATTGCCATTGTTCTTGAGTTCTCAGTCGTCCTCATTGTCCGCTATATTCAGAGAGTCCGGTTTTATCCCAGGCTTTTTCATACCCAGGCCAGCTGGTCTTGATGAGTTCCCAATAGAACATTCCCATTGTCTCAGTGTGTGGGTGCCCCCCTCGCAGTCCTGAGTTCCTTGCTCATGCTCTCTCTCCTTCTGCTCCTGATTTGGACCTTGAGATTTCTGTCCGGTGCTCTAATGTGGGTCTCTGTCTCCTTTCATCGTCTGCTGAAGGTTAATATTCAGGAGGATGCCTATATGTTTTTCTTTGGGTTCTCTTTCTTATTTAGCTTCTCTAGGATCACTAATTATAGGCTCAATGTCCTTTATTTCTGGCTAGAAACCAAATATGAGTGAGTACATCCCATGTTCCTCTTTTTGGGTCTGGCTTACCTCACTCAGGATAGTGTTTTCTATTTCCATCCATTTGCCTGCAAAATTCAAGAAGTCCTTGTTTTTTACTGCTGAATAGTACTCTAATACGTATATATTCCATACTTTCTTCATCCATTCTTCCGTTGATGGGCATCTAGGTTGTTTCCAGGTTCAAGGTAAAGGTTTTGAAATGATGAAAGAGGGTGGAGGTCAGGCAGAACACCTGCCTAGCCTCATCTTCCTTCTTGGAGTTCTGGCTACTCCTTTTATCTTTTTGTTGTTGTTGTTGTTATGTTTTTGTTTTATTTCTAAACAGAACACAGAGTTTAGTCGGCTCTGGCGAGTCCTGTAATTTACATTAGTCAGGCTCTGGTTTAATTCCTGCTGTTGTGTATTTTATCAAAATTTGCTCCCCTCCCCCCAACACACAGAATTAAAGCTGGCGGTTGCCTTCTACTTTTGTCTCCAGTGCTGGGAATCGAACTCACAATGCCTTGCATGGGAGGCAAGCTTGGCCACTGATCTCTGTTTCCAGCC